GACTCTCAACCACTGCGCCACCAGGGAAGCCCCTTTTTGAGGTGTTTTGAGTAAAATAGTTTTTACTTACATATGATGAGAAAACATTTCCAAGGGGATTGATCACTAATTAATGAGCAGCCTTCTCCCATTTTTTTCTTAAAAGCTATATTTTACATTGTGAATTCAAGTTCATCATTATTCATTAAGAAGCTGTGTGTGCTTGTTCAGATTTTTGCATGGAAGCCAGGAGTTTATTAAATTGAATAACCAAGGTTGTTACTTATTTTAATTGAATTGCATTTTTAGTTATTAATAAAAAAGATGCTAGTGAGAGAGAAGTTCAGTACTTGGTCAAATCTGAATGTGACAAAATCTGAAATTCACATTGGTTTCTATTAAAAATTTAAGAAGCTTTTTTAGTCATAACTTTAATTCTGATTTCTTTCAATTTAGATAGTATTTTTTTTTTTGGCTGCGTTGGGTCTTTGTTGCTGTGTGCAGGCTTTCTCTAGTTGCAGCGAGCAGGGGCTGCTCTTCATTGTGGTGCTCAGGCTTCTCATTGTGGTGGCTTCTCTTGTTGTGGAGCACAGGCTCTAGGCGTGTGGGCTTCAGTAGTTGTAGCACGTGGGCTCAGTAGTTGTGGCTCGTGGGCTCTAGAGCGCAGGCCCAGTAGTTGTGGTGCACGGGCCTAGTTGCTCCACGGCATGTGGGATCTTCCCAGACGAGGGATTGAACCTGTGTCCCCTGCATTGGCAGGCGGATTCTTAACCACTGCGTCACCAGGGAAGCCCTAGATAGCATTTTTCATTGCTTGGTACAACTTGTATTTTTGCTATGGTTTCTCAGTGTGTGTAATTATGTACCTTTTTTCCCTATTGTCTACACTAAGAAAATTTAAATATTTTCTCATGGAAAATTTTAAAGTTTTGTTTTTAATTTACAAAATTCCTTAAAATATGCATAGGCAGCATATAACTTTTTGCTTTCCACATATATCCTGTTTTCTAATACATGTGAAAAACTTGTCAAATAGTTTCATTAGACAGCAGAAACACATAAATTTGACTTGTGTAAGTCTCAGAAAACGATCTAACAATTGGAAGGAAAATGAAACATGTCCATGTTTCTGCAGAAAATGTGATGGGGGCATTTGGTCATAACGTATCTTCTGAAAGCATTTAAAACACATGTGAATGTATGCACACACATGTAATGAGGCAAGGCTTTGAGATCAAGTCACTCAGATGTCAGCTTTTACTGGTTTCTTGCTCTGTAACCTTGGTCAAGTTATTTTATTTCTCTAAACCCTAGTTTCCTTATCAATAAATGGAGATTATAATATTTATCTTGCTCAGCTTTTAGGATTAAATGTTTGTGAGGTGCTTACCATAGTTCCTGACAGAGTCAGCTCTTAATAAATTAATTACTGCCTTTAAACTAGAATCTTTCCTTAGAACACTACTTACCTACTTTGAGCTTTATATCCATCAAAGGGTAGCCTTTACAAAGAAAGTGAATTTGAAAATGTAAGTATTACTTATCTGCTAATATTTTTATCCTTTCACCTTTAGCTTTGATTCAAGGAATTTATGGATTGGGATGAAAAATATTCACTTTGAGATTGCCATTATACACCTTAAAGGAAAGTCTGTAGGAAACCTGGGGTACAGTCAGCCTTTTGTTACTTTTGTGTAGACTCCCTGCACATCTGATTGAGCTGTGCTAGAGGCCATAGCTGCAGTCAGTGCTTCATTTATAGTGTATCCAGTGCTTCTGGCTTAGAGTGCCAGGCGAGTGAGAGACACTACTCTGTGTTTGGGTGGCTGTGGGTGGATGTAGCTTTGTATGTTGACAGGTAGTGTTGAGCTGGGCTGAGGGAATCTGTAGCGAAGAATACTTGGGAAAATTTATTAAATTGGATGGGTAGAGAAAGGACAACTGGAAGAGTGAATAGGGAGGTGGGTGCCAGCCTGGATTATTACTGATAATTCAGATGGTAGATACTGGATGTTGAAATGCCAAAACAATCTAAATAAATGTTATATTTTAAGATAGTCTGTTTAGGAGGCTATGTGTGTGCTGCTTTTAGTCTTGCAGCTTATACAGTAAATATTTTGGAAATTCTTTTGGAAATGCCTTAAGGTAGTAGCAGAAGAATTGGTGTCACTTTTGACCCCAAACGAGGTTTCACGGTTTAGTCAGTCTCTGTTTATTCAAACATGTTATTTTTAAATTCTTTTTTTAAAAATTATTTAATTAATTTATTTTTGTGTGTGTTGGGTCTTGGTTGCTGCACGGGCTTTCTAGAGTTGCAGCGAGAGGAGGCTGCTCTTCGTTGTGGCATGCAGGCTTCTCATTGCGGTGGCTTCTCTTGTTGCGAAGCATGGGCTCTAGGCGCGCAGGCTCAGTAGTTGTGGTGCACGGGCTTAGTTGCTCCGTGGCACGTGGGATCTTCCCGGACCAGGGCTTGAACCCATGTCCCCTGCATTGGCAGGTGGATTCTTAACCACTGCGCCTCCAGGGAAGCCCCTCAAACACTTTATTTAATTAACTTGGCTCCAAATTACTTTTTGATTATTTTCACAAAAGACTTATCATCCTTTATATTCAGAACAGTGTGCACTTGTATCTTTTTCTATTTTAACTTTTTTTTCCGGTACGCGGGCCTCTCACTGTTGTGGCCTCTCCCGTTGAGGAGCACAGACTCCGGACGCGCAGGCTCAGCGGCCATGGCTCACGGGCCCAGTCGCTCCGCGGCATGTGGGATCTTCCTGGCCCGGGGCATGAATCCGTGTCCCCTTCATCGGCAGGCGGACTCTCAACCACTGCGCCACCAGGGAAGCCCTGCACTTGTATCTTAAGGGGAGCTGCAACATTACTATTATTTTTTTTTGGCGAGGTGGTTAATAGTAGTGTCCTTGGACACCATAGTGGATACATTGAAAAGCGCCAGCTAGTCATTTGGGAGTTTGGATTGTTTTTTTAAAAGAAAAATTGCGGGGCTTCCCTGGCGGCACAGCGGCTGAGAGTCCGCCTGCCGATGCAGGGGACACGGGTTCGTGCCCCGGTCTGGGAGGATCCCACATGCCGCGAAGCGGCTGGGCCCATGAGCCATGGCCGCTGAGCCTGCGCGTCCGGAGCCTGTGCTCTGTGACGGAAGAGGCCACAACAGTGAGAGGCCCGTGTACCGTAAAAAAAAGAAGAAGAAAAGAAAAATTGCTGCAATGGAATATTACTCAGCCATAAAAAAGAGTGAAATATTGCCATTTGTAGCAACATGGATGGACCTAGAGATTATCATACTGAGTGAAGTAAGTTAGAAAGAGAAAGACAAATATGATATCACTTATATGTGGAATCTAAAAAAAGATGCAAATGAATTTATTTACAAAACAGAAACAGACTCACAGACGTAGAAAACAAACTTATGGTTACCAAAGGGGAAAGGACGGGGGAGGGATAAACTAGGAGTATGGGATTAACAGACATACATTACTATATATAAAATAAACAACAAGAATTTACTGTATAGTACAGGGAGCTATATTCAGTATCTTGTAATAACCTATAATAGAAAAGAATCTGAAAAATATATGTATAACTGAATCACTTTGCTATATACCTGAAATTAACACAATATTGTAAATCAACTATACTTCAGTTAAAAAAAAAGAAAAATTACTACTGTGTATTATAACTAATCAAGAATGGTCCAATTATTATTTTAAATAAAGAGTATTTCTTTTTCAGTAATATTTAAATTAGGTTTCAGTTTTATAAAGTTATTTTATGTTTGTACTTTTTAAAAAGTTATTTTGTGTTTTCTTTTGTCAGGCTGACTTATCCCTGTATAATGAATTCAGATCTTGGAAGGATGAGCCCATAATGGACAGAACATGTCCTTTCTTAGACAAAATCTATCAGGAAGATATTTTTCCATGTTTAACCTTCTCAAAAAGTGAGGTAATTAAAAACACATTTTAACAGAAATGCATTAAAGTTGTTCCTATACCTTTTACTGAGTCATGTTACATATTTTAATATCTCTTACATAAATAAGTTATAAAGTGTCATATTTTACCATTTCTCCATTCCATATTAGGATCGTAATAATTTCTTGGCATTCACTTACTGAACCTCTTTCCTTATTTGAGCAGAGGATCACTTATGCTGCAGTGTGTTGCACTGGAGTGAAGTATTAAATATGTAAGGGGGTAGGACTTAATTTTTAGTCCAAGGTTCAGTGCAAGGGAAGTTATGTACACTCTAAAGTGTTTGTTGGGTTTATCTGTATGTGATTAAAAAGAAGCCCTATTTAGTTTCTTCTTCTTTAAAACGGGGAAAAAATGCCTTCCTTGCCTGTATCACAGGATTGTTAAGATAAAATGAAGTGAATTAAGTAGATAGAAAAATTTTTTAAAAAATACTACACGGCAGTATACAAATGTAAGGTCATAAGTTTAATTTGTTCTTACATGTGGAAAGTTTGTCTACAAATATCCTGTTAATCAGTGTTTAAGAAAGTTAATCCTAAGAGTCTTTTGTTAAGTCTTTAGAGGATTTAATTATATAACACTGCTTGTAAGGAAAAGTTAAGATGAACAGTAAAATGCTTTTGATATGTAGATATGTTAGTCATTGTGGCTCTGGTTTTAGGTAGGCTGTTCAGTATGAGTAATCTTGCCAGAATGAAATTTGTCTATTTCATCAATTGTTTATCAGTTACTACCGTCTCCATCTGGGCATTTAATACTTGATAACTCAGTTAATTCTTTTTTTTTGGGGGTTTTTTTTTTTTTTTTGCGATACGCGGGCCTCTCACTGTTGTGGCCTCTCCCGTTGCGGAGCACAGGCTCCGGACGCGCAGGCTCAGCGGCCATGGCTTACGGGCCCAGCCACTCCGCGGCATGTGGGATCTTCCCGGACCGGGGCACGAACCCGTGTCCCCTGCATCGGCAGGCGGACTCTCAACCGCTGCCCCACCAGGGATGCCCTCAGTTAATTCTTTTGTAGACTCTTGTGCACATAAATACATGATCAGTAAATATATAGCTATAATTAACACATATTGCTGTGTTATGAATGACCAATAGGAAAAAATAATGCATAAGTTTAGCAAAATTAAAGCCTTAGGATATTCATTTTGAAGTGACGTAATCAACGGATGTTAATTATGGGTAAGGGGTGGTGTGGAATTAATGTCTTTAATCTCCTTCTAGGTAATAAAAGTTATTTAGCTATAACTGAATTGCCTTTCATAACAATGTTTGAATTATAAAAGAATTCAAACCGAGATTATGTGGTTTCCTTCTTTTTCATTAGCTAAGGCAAATCTAGTGGACCTTGGAAGAAATAATTTTTAAAAACCAGTTTATTATAGAATAGAATTTTTATATTTTCCTGCCAGCATAGCATCTAATACTTCTTTGTTCTTTTTGAAGTTGGCTTCGGCTGTTCTGGAGGCAGTGGAAAACAATACTCTAAGCATTGAACCAGTGGGACTACAACCTATTCGATTTGTGAAAGCGTCTGCAGTTGAATGTGGAGGACCAAAGTACGTTTTCAAAACCATGTCTTAGGGAAGATACTGAGCTTTTAAAATTTTATGTGTTGTAGTTATTTAATATTTTCTGATTTTAAATGTTAAATCTCTTGTCAGTTTTCTATTTAAAGCCTGTGCAGCCCAAAGACCAATCCCTGGGCAGTGTGGGGATTTCAAATTTAGCACCAGTGGAGAGCCCTTTTAATTACAAACGTATATGTGGGATCCAGGTAGATCAGGTGTTAGAAACTTCTTTAAAAACCGCATGTTATAATCCATTAGTTGATTATGAAATCTCTTTAGTGGGTCATAAGCAGAATTTTTGTTTGTTATACTTATATGTACAGCTATGTGTTCTGGGCTTTGTGTAAATTATTTCTTTTTGAGGCTTGCCATCAAAAATAGTTTGAGAAGACAGTGAATTAGACCAAGTCTTACCAAGCATGAAAACAGGGTACCAGAAGGCTTGGTTAGTCCTCTCCTTTACTACTCTCATTATAAAACTTTCTCACTTTGGTAGATAAACAGCTCTGTCTCCCATATGTGAGAGATATTTGGCAGTTTTATACCTTCAGGGGTGACTCCCACACTTCGTAGCAGGGCAAGCTGTCTTCCAACTGGTCCTGGGAGGAGGAAAGACTGAAACCAACAGTACATAAAACGTTTGCCACAGCTGTTTAAAAAGTGACTTCAGAAGATTTTGAGGAAGCTGCTTAGTTGGTGGTGAAGAACTAGATCGGTATAGGGGACCGAAGAGCCCGAGAGAGCTCAAAGCAAGCAATAATTGAATCCCATCAGGCCATTTTGAAGGCAGAGGAGGAAATAGCTGCTTGAGATTAACTACTAGGTCTGTTAAAGCCAGTCGTAGGAGTTGTGTAGTTCTTGTTTCCTGTTACGCACGTCACACTCTCAGCAGCATCACACAGTGTTGGTATTTGGGTAACTTAATCCTGTATTTGCTCTGTGAGCCACACGTCTACCTAGAGTTATGTCCTGTTTGACACTCCCCCATGCCACACCTGTAGTATGGTGGCCTCTGAATTTTGGGGAAGAGATTTTCATTCCTAAATTCTATCCTTCAGCAAACACCTGGGTATTTTTATCCTGGCCATTAATACTTTTTGTACTTTTAGTTTCTATGTTATACCTTATTTTAAATATAGCAGTTTTTACTGTAGGATTTTAAATTTATACTTGCATTATATATCACACATTAAACGTGCAAATATCAAATGATAACAAATCAGAGTCTCAGTTAAAGTAGATTTTTACAGTATTTTAGTAAAATAATTATACAGATTAGGTTTAGAGAATAATTTACATCGTTAAGAATATTGTTCTTGTGGGAATGGGGCCAGAAACCAAGGTGTTTGTGGTGCATATTGTGTGGAGAATACTAAAGAAGACGTTGTCCTCTTTTATGAAACGTGACGTATGGCTCTTGTGGATGAGGTTATCAAGATAAACGCTAAACGAATGGCACAGTGCTTGGGGAATTTTGTGGAAGGCAAGATCATTCTACTGGTGGTGATCAGGGACTGTTCTTGGGATTTGATTTGATCTGGGCTTTTGAAGCATGGGTGGAATTGGGGAGATAAGGAACAGTACATACGACTGAATAAAGGAACAAGAAAACAGTGTGTTCAGAGGATGGTGAGTGTTTGGAGAGGGAAGATGTGAAAAAAAGGAATTAGAGGTGACTGATTAGAGGGATACTGTGAGCTTTTGGAAATCAATAGGAAGGGCTCTGGTTTTGGAAACAAGATGATAGGTCTAGATTTAGACACGTTGACATCCCTAAGTGAAAATGGCAAGCAAGGATTTGGAATCTTGGGACTAGAGCTGTTAGGGGATACTGAGGTAGTGTGGCATGTTAAAAAAAACATTGGAATTAGAGGTCAGAAGACTTAGTGTTGAATCCTGGCTCAAATAAAAATATATTGGCTTTAGAAATGAGATAACTTAAACACTTCTTTATTATTTTAAAAGTTGATACTTAAAACCACTTTACCTGAGTCCTTTCAAAATTAGAAAAATAGTAGACAAACAGGTATGTCTGCTTCCAAAAGGTGATTTTTATCAGTTTGATGGTTACTTTTTTCTCTTGTGTAAATTGTGCTTAAAATAGTATAGTTCCAAGGACTTTTACCCACTTGTGCCTTAAATTTCTTGATTGTCTATCCTCCCCAAGCTAGTAGTTAGTGCTTTTAAATATTGTTATAGATCATTAAAGGAATTTTCTAATAAAGGAACAATGAGGCTAAATCTCTTTGAAAAGGTAAGAATTCTTTTGTGATTTGAATGGCCACTTCCAAAATTACCCTTTTAAATGCACATTCTCCATGTGTTTGCTTAATATGGAGGCACATTTGTATCATATTTCTGGTAAGTATAGCTGAAAATTAACGTTCATTTAATATATTTTTCTTTATTATATAATTTACAATGTTGTATAAAATGCTATTGGCCACTTTATTTTACTTAGAGCTACACTAATTTTGCATTGACAAGGAATGATAGCTATCTTCAGTCAAGCTTCTAATTTAGGAGGTTGACACCTGGGCTGCTGTGAGTCCAGCCTGATCCTGTTGAGCAGTGGAGTGACAGGTGGCCTGTCACTTAACCAACAGTCATTGAATGTCTGCTGTGTGCCAGGCCATGCTTGGTGCCAGGCATTTAAAGATGAATAAAATACATTTACTGTTCTCAAGAGGCTTTCAGGGGGACTTCCCTGGCAGTCCAGTGGTTAAGACCCTGCACTTCCAGTGCAGCGAGTGCAGGTTCAATCCCTGGTCGGGGAACTGAGGTTCCACATGCCAAGTGGTGTGGCAAAAAAAAAAAAAGAGGCTTTCAGCCTAATCCCAGCCAGAAAGCCCTCATACCAAATTTTACATGTTGTAGTATGCAAAGAGAAAGGTTGGTATGTCTAAATGTAGTGTACCCTTTGTGTAATTGTTAAGATTCAGTGTATTTGTACGGTAGCTTATTCCTTTGTACTTCTTAGGCCTAGGTGCCACGTTAAATGCATATATACCAACCCAACACACCAAAAAGTATCCCATCTGGAAGCTGTTCTCCTGCAAAGCTGTCAGTAACATGTTTTGAGACCTAAGCAGTCACTTTTAAGTTTTTTTCAACTGAGAGAGAAGTTGAAGTCCCAGTGGAAAGCTGGGAGCTGCCCTGCAGCTGATTACTCATTCGTAAGTTTGCCCCAGGACACATATGAACACATTTAGCTTCTATTTCTAGCACCATGGTTAAAGCTATGCCTGTAAGCTTATACTAGGATGTAAGCCCCAAAGGGCAGGGCTTTTGTCTTTTTCATCATTATAGCCCAGCATCACAAAGTGCCTGGTACATGTTCGGTTCTCAGATATTAGTTGTCTTAATGAATATACAACTCGTCCAGAAGGTAGGGGCAAAATGCTTTTAATTTAAAAAACTAAAATTTATCCTTGTTTTACAGAAAATGTGCTCTCACAGGTCAGAGTAAGTCCTGTAAACACAGAATTAAATTAGGGGACTCAAGCAATTATTATTATATTTCTCCTTTTTGCAGATACAGGGTAAGTAATTTAACCACAAATTTCTTTTTTTAATTAATTAATTTATTTATTTTTGGCTGCATTGGGTCTTTGTTGCTGCGCGTGGGCTTTCTAGTTGCGGCAAGTGGGGGCTACTCTTCGTTGTGCTGCGCGGGCTTCTAGTTGTGGTGGCTTCTCTTGTTGCAGAGCATGGGCTCTGGGCGTGCAGGCTGCAGTAGTTGTTGCTCGTGGGCTCAGTAGTTGTGGCTCAAGGGCTCTAGAGCACAGGCTCAGCAGTTGTGGCGCACAGGCTTAGTTGCTCCTCATTAACCACAAGTTTTAATAAAGCTTGCTTTGATGTGAGATATTTGACTGTTTAACATTTTTTTTTCTTTTTGGCATAGATCACTTCTGTATGTAACTTTTTCACATATATTCGATATATTCAACAGGGACTTGTGAAACAGCAGGATGGTGAGTGTTCTTAATTCATTATAAAATATTTGCATGAAATTCAGTAAAAAGTATGGAACATAATAGTAAGCGCAAGTCAACTTTATCATTGGTACATTTATATTGAATCTCTTTTGTAGGTCTAATAAAATGTGTGAAGAATTTGGGAACAAATGCATCTTTTAAACATGTATTTAATCCTTATATTTGCCTCATTTTACTCTAATTTTAAGCAGAATCAGTTTTAACTTTTAAGGGGTATATGATAAACCAGATGGTAAGTGTGAGAGGAGCATAAAGCCCATTGAATTTACTCCTTAAGAAATAAAAATGAACAAGCTCTAGACATGGTCAGATTTATTTTATTTTATTTTATTTATTTTTTAATAGATTTTTTATTTTTGGCCATGCCACGTGGCATGTGGGATCTTAGTTCCCTGACCAGGGATCAAACCCATGTCCCCTGCAGTGGAAGTGCAGAGTCCTAACCACTGGACCACCAGGGAATTCCCCAGATTTATTTTAATTACTGGAACCCACAAGGCACTAACAATAAATTTTTTTCTGTATTTTCTACTTTCATGTGTAAGTTAATAAAGCAGTCCTGAGCGTAATTCTGAGTGAAATAAAGATGACTGTGTTCTAAATCAGCTGGGACATGTGGATGATATACCCAGGATAGTCAGCCCAGGACTCTGCTGGATATTTTTTAATGTAGTCTTTCATGATTACTTATGGTTTTATAGCCGAATGTCTTAAATACTAGGCATAGAAACTAATATGGCCTGACAGCTCAAAAGCAGTGTTTTGTTTTGTGTTTTTGTTTTTTCTTTAAATATGTATCATTGTTTTAAAACAGAAATAGCAGATACTAGGCTAGGGACAAGTCCATGCCAATTTTGTATTTGAAGTTGTGGGAAATTTTTCTGTTTTTATTTTTCTAAACATTGAAAATTTTCTTATACTTAAAAACTAGTAGATGCCTACTATCTTTCTGTCATGTAAACCAGTGAATCTTAATTCTTTGGAAAAATCAATCGTGTTGATAAAAACTTAGTTTAGTGTTTTCAAGCTCTAGTACGTTGAAAATAGTCATTTATTTATAATCCCATATAATTAGGTTTTAATGCATAAAAGAAAAGGGGTGAAACCTGTCTCTAATTAACATTGAATTTCAAAAGCCCACAGAGCATAAAAGCAGTCTTTAAACTATACAGTACTTTTTATGACTTTAATAAAATTTAAATCTTTTTTAATACCTATTGGTAGATAATATGATTTAAGCTGAAGAATAGATGATTTGTGTTAAGTTGTCAAGCATATTTTTTCTTCTTGTTAAAAAAAGAAGTTTTATGTAAAAGAATGAAATTAGAGCACTCCCTAACACCATACACAAAAATAAACTCAAAATGGATTCGAGACCTAAATGTAAGACCGGACACTGTAAAACTCTTAGAGGGAAGCATAGGAAGAACACTCTTTGACATAAATCACAGCAGGATCTTTTATGATCCACCTCCTAGAGTAATGGAAACAAAAACAAAAATAAAGAAATGGAACCTAATGAAACTTCAAAGCTTTTGCACAGCAAAGGAAACCATAAACAAGACGAAAAGACACCCCTCAGAATGGGAGAAAATATTTGCAAACGAATCAACGGACAAAGGATTAATCTCCAAAATATTTAAACAGCTCATGCAGCCCAATATTAAAGAAACAAACAACCCAATCCAAAAATGGGCAGAAGACCTAAATAGACATTTCTCCAAAGAAGATATACAGATAACCAAGAAGCACATGAAAAGCTGCTCAACACCACTAATTATTAGAGAAATGCAAATCAAAACTACAATGAGGTATCACCTCACACCAGTTAGAATGGGCATCATCAGAAAATCTACAAACAGCAAATGCTGGAGAGGGTGTGGATAAAAGGGAACCCTCTTGCACTGTTGGTAGGAATGTAAATTGGTACAGCCACTATGGAGAACAGTATGGAGGTTCCTTAAAAAACTAAAAATAGAATTACCATATGATCCAACAAGCCCACTATTGGGCATATACCTAGAGGAAACCATAATTCAAAAAGACACATGCACACCCCAATGTTCATTGCAGCACTATTTACAATAGCCAAGTCATGGAAGCAACCTAAATGCCCATCGAAAGACGAATGGTTAAAGAAGATGTGGTACATATATACAATGGAATATTACTCAGCCATAAAAAGGAACAAAATTGAGTCATTTGTTGAGACATGGATGGATCTAGAGACTGTCATACAGAGTGAAGTAAGTCAGAAAGAGAAAAACAAATATCGTATATTAACACATGGATGTGGAACCTAGAAGAATGGTACAGATGAACTGGTTTGCAGGGCAGAAGTTGAGACACAGATGTAGAGAACAAACGTATGGACACCAAGGGGGGAAAACCACGGTGGGGTGGGGATGGTGGTGTGCTGCATTGGGCGATTGGGATTGACATGTATACACTGATGTGTATTATACTGATGACTAATAAGAACCTGCAGTATAAAAAAACAAAAAGAACAACTAATACTAAACTTTCTTTGGGTTATTTGTATGGAAATATGTTAATATAAATGTTTCAGACATTACATGAAATTTCTAAAAATCTTATATGTGCTGCTATAATGTTATAAGTCATAATTCTAGTTATTACTTTAAAATGTATGTCTCAGAAACAACTAAATTTCCCTGTCAATTGCATTATTATGAACTTTCATCAAATCTTTAACCGTGGTCATTTTTTAAGTCTGTTGTCATTTACAGACAGTTCTGGGTGTACTCTGATGCTTTTGCAAAAATGTTCCTATAAAAGGGTTTCATCTTCAGGGAATTCATGGAAAAGACTGACAAGTACAGGTTTCTGGTAACTGACTGTACTGCTGAACTGAAGGAATGAGCATTTTCAGAACTCTAATGGAAAACTGATGAATTCATAAAAGTGCTAACAAAAGGTCAAGATGGAAAAAAAAATTACATGGGACTGAGTGAACTGATGAGGATGATTATAATTTTTGTGACTTTATGTTTGAATAAAAAAAAAGAAAAGAAAAAGTTTTTGTAGGGAAGAATGAAAGGTACTCTACTTTGTGAAAACAGGAAGAAGGGATCATGAGTGGTTGTGGTGATGGTGATAAAAGTGATATCTTGTCTGGTTCCTCTTACCCTTTCACTTCACAGCATTTGTTACACATTGTATACTGAGTGGGTTTGTAGTAAATTACTGTTAATTTTACAATCTGTTTATTATCTGTGCCTTGTGCTAAAAAGGATTTAAGGCAGTTAAATATAAAGCAGGGTTTCTCAGCCTTGGTACTATTATTATTTTAAACTGGATAATTCTTTGTTGTGGGAGGCTGTCTTGTGCATTGTAGGATGTTTAATAGCATCCCTGGGCTTTACTCACTAGATGCTAGTAATGAAAAATATATCCAGACATTGCCAAATGCACACCTGGGGACACATTCTCCCAGGTTGCGAACCACTGATCTAAATCAATCTAGTCTGATCATATGTCAGAGAGAGACCTTTTATTATCTAAAACATAGAGCAAATTTCTTCCCACTTATAGAGGGAACTTTCAGAAGCACAGATAATTGAAATTTACAGTTTATCCTCTGCATTTATTTTTATTTCTAATTGAGCCATACACAGAATCTTTCCCTATTATTACTCACAAAGAATGTTACTAAGTTCTCTGGACTGTCTCTTGTTTTCCTTTTTTTCCTGTTTACTCTGTTGGTTTTAATGAAAAGTGAAAAATGGCCAAGATACAGCAAACTATAGCAAGAAGATGCATAAGTTAGATAATAACTCTTGTGTAATTGAGCATTGAGTGTAGTTACTCAAGAAGGCAGCAGCATTGCCAGTTACTCAGGACATTGAGATGCCTGCCTTCTTTTGGGCTAAAATGGTAGTCAGTCATTGATGTATCTAACAAATCGTTGTAGCAAAATTGGTAAATACTGCTTATTTATTCATAAAACTGGGATGCTCACAAGTACATGGAGAAGTTAGTGTGAAGCAGTGATAGCATGTCTAAGCATTAGGTACATCATTAGGAGACGCCCAACTGGCATTTCAGCTAATCTTAAATTTTCAGTGAAACAGATTAAAAATAATTAAGATAATAGTTTATGATTTATGTGTTTCTCTTTTCTGTTTGTATAGTTGATCAAATGTTTTGGGAAGTTATGCAGTTGAGAAAAGAGATGTCATTGGCAAAGCTGGGATATTTCAAAGAGGAACTGTGATGCTCTGCCTGGGACCATGCATGAACCTCCCTGAAGACCTGGAAAATGACTGAATATTTTTATGGTTACTTGATATTTATTTCCTTTCAAGGAGTGGGTCCAAGACTTTTTCCCTCTTTTGCAAATTACACTGAAAAGTACTATGATTTCTTTTAAACTGACCTATGCTGTGTTTGCTTATTTAGTTGAACACACTATAAAGAATTACAGGTGTACTAGTGATTGTAATTTATAGTTGCAAAAAAAAAGCTAAATAAATAAATATTAGATTGAGGGTATTTTTGCTTTCTCTTCTAGCTCTGACATGATATATAGGGTCAGCTGAATATATTGAATTGTAGTTTTCAAACTTCATAGCAGCCTGCAAAAGACAAGAAGGGTAAGTGAACAGGATCAGCTTCCTTCCCCCCCACTACAATGACTCTATTTTTGTCTGTTTTATATGTTAGGATTGAAAAAACATTTTATTTAAAGAAAGATTTCTTCTGAAAAGAAAGTTACTTTTATTCATTCCGTTCTCTGTAACTTAAAGAATCCCTTTATTATGGTGATTAATAGAGGACAATCACATTTTATTCTAGAGATGCACTCTTGAACATCTTGATGTAGTGTATTTATACTTTACATACATTGAGCACTGTAGTAATCATTGAAAGGGTATAAAGATAAATTAGGAGTTTGATGTGTGCTCAGGGGAGTTGGAAAGGGTGTGGGTTGAAAGAGTGATACTTGCAAAGGATACACTGATCACAGAGCCACTCGATCTGTCAGTTTCAAATTGTAAAACAAATGGTGTGGAAAAGCAAAAAGAAGAAATGAGAAACCACTTTAGTCCCTCCATCTAGAGAAAGCTACTCAATATTTTTGAAGAATAGACTTTCAGATATTTTCTACCTATGTGTGTACATTTCTGAAACAAAAAGTAGACTTTCTTTTTTTTTTTACTTAAAAATTCTACAAATCTGGATCAATGTAAGGTTTTGATGATAGGATGTTAACTAATTGTGTTTGGAGATTAGTTTGTTTTAAATTTCTTTTTCATGTCATAATGCTGTGATGAGGATCCTTATGTATACTTCTTTGAACATTGTTGGCTTATTTCCTTCATATAGATGCCTAGAAGTAAAATTGTTGGGTCAAGCAAGGTACATGTGTATTTTAAAATATTTGATCTGCATTGCCAAATTGCCATCTAGAAGAGTTGAACCAATTTATATTCACAGTAGATGTGTATGAGAGAACTGGTGTTCTGAAGGTGGTATTACTTTCAGTCCTGTCTCAAAGGTTTGGTCAACCTTACGTATAGAAGACTCAGTCACCAGGATGGATGGAAGCGCACAGACAAAAGGATATTCGAGAATGGTATGGTAGAAGCTATCATTACCATGCCCAGCTCAAGAATATGAAATTGACCATGAAAAGAAATTTGAAACTAGAATTTTATGTCTTGATAGTTCATGTGAGGGCATAATAAACATGTGCTCAGACTTTCAAAGCTTCAGAAGATTTTCCACACAAAGATGCAAATTAAAAACACTTTGGGGGGACTTCCCTGGTGGCACACTGGTGAAGAATCTGCCTGCCAATACAGGGTACTCGGGTTCGAGCCCTGGTCTGGGAAGATCCCACATGCCGCAGAGCAGCTAAGACCGTGTACCACAACTACCGAGCCTGTGCTCTAGAATCTGCGAGCCACAACTCCTGAGCCCACATGCCACAACTACTGAAGCCTGCATGCCCTAGAGCCTGCATGCCGCAACTACTGAGCCTGTGTGATGCAACTGCTGAAGCCCATGCACGTAGAGCCTGTGCTCCACAAGAGAAGCCACTGCAATGAGAAACCAGTGCACCGCAACGAAGAGCAGTCCCCGCTCACCGCAACTAGAGAAAGCCTGTGCGCAGCAGCAAAGACCCAACGCAACTGGAAAAAAAAAAAATTGGGGGAGCTTCCCTGGCAGTCCAGTGGTTAAGACTCCACGCTCCCAATGCAGGGGGCACACGTTCGATCCCTGGTCAGGGAACTAGGATCCTGCATGCCGCATGGCATGGCCAATAAATAAATAAATTTAAAAAAAAAAAAAAACACTTTTGGAGAAAATACTAAAACTAAAAGAGAAACAAATCCAGGAGATGCTTTGAGATTTGGGAAGAAAAACGATCAGATACGTAGAGAAAGTTTGTTGATAACTTTAAAAGAATAAAAAAGTAAGGCTAAAGAAAATTTTAAAACTTCAGGTAGATCCATAACAATCTAGAACTAAAATTATTTGCAATATCAACACAATGGGAATGGGAGAAGACCAGGGAGCATGGGGATATATTAAAGTTCTTGTTAGATGAAAAATGGAGATAATCAGTTAAAAGTGAAGAGACCAAGTAGAGAAAGAATATGATATGGAAATAAAAAGTAAAAATATAGTCAAGTTGGATTAAAGTATATGATAACAAAGCATAAGGACATGGAAATGTTGGAATAAAAGAATGGAAAAAAGATGCCAGGAAAATACCAAAAGAAAGCTAGAGTGGTTATACTGTTATCAGAAAAGAACATGATAGGACAAAAATATTATTAGACATAGAGTTGGGTTTTACATAATACTAAAAATTGAGTGCACCAAGAAGACTTAATGAGAAAATAGAAATAATAAAAATGGAGAAATTTAAAAATACTAAGAGCTGACTAATAATGAATATCAGAACGTAGAAGGATACAGAGAAAGTGCTTCAAGGAAAAGTTTATAGCTTTAAATCCTTATTTATATTTTTAAAATGAGCTGAGTGTCCAATTAAAGAAGTTATAGGAGAACAAGATGAAGGAGATAAGAGCAGAAACAGAAAACAAGAATGCAGTAGAAGATCATCAAAGCTATTGAGTCTTTGAAAAGATGAACAAAATAGACAAAAATTTCTGGCGAGTTTATCCTGGAGGAAGAGAAAATGCACAAATAACCCATACTGGGAATGAAAAGGTCTATGTCACTGCACATACTAACGGATGTTATGAACAACATGGCAATAAGTTTCAAAATTTAGGCAAAAGGGAAAATTCCTAGAAAAAATGTGTTATATTTTGGTTAAGAAGAAGTCAGAAGCCTGAGCAGTACTACTACTATTAAAGGAAAGGAAGTAGTTAGAAATCCTTCTGTGAAGAAAACTCTAGGCATAGGTGGTTTTACCAAATTTTATGGGTATTCTAATCTTAGATATATTCTGGAGAACAGAATGTCTCCTACATCAAAAACCAGTATAACTGATAGTAAAACTAGATGGGGGCAATACAAAAAAGGAAAATTATAGGCCCGTTTTGTCGTGAATATATATGCAAAGGCAAACTGAATGTAATATACTGAGCAAGTGGTGTTTATTCCAGGAATACAAAGATGGTATATTAGAAAATTTATAAATATTTGCTGCATTTACAGAATAAAAGTGAATTACCATCTAATCAATAGATGGAGAAAAACATTTGGTAAAAATACTCATTAATTAATAACTTTTAGTAATCTGTAGATGAAAGGGTACTTCTCAGCTTGGTAAAGGGTATCTTCAAGCATCCTATAATAAACATCACCCTAAGAGAGGAAACATTAGAAACATTCTCTCTGAAATGAACAATTGAACAATAGAATAAAGATGACCGCTGTCTTCACTTTTATTCAGAATTGTACTATAAATGTTAGCCAGTGCAGCACCATGAGGAAGATAAAGATATTGGAAAGGAGAAAGTAAACTGTCATTATTTGCTTATGATGTGATTATCTACATAGGAAATTTAAAAAATCTTCCATCAAATTATTAGGTGGCTAAATATGGGATCAGTATATAATTGTGAATTATACTTACATACACCGACCTCAAACAATTAGAAAATAGACTTTTTAAGACCAAACAATTGCAGACAATTCTAAAGTGCTAAGTAATCTAACCAAAGATTAGATTTGGTTAGATTACTGTGTAATCTGTACACAGACCTGTGTACAGAAAGTTATACAACTTCACTAAAAGACAGTAAGGAGGACTGGACTGATCCTATGTTCATGGATAGAAAGACAATATGAAAGATGTTAATTCTCTCCAAGTTGATATATAGATTTAGTGCATCTCCAAACTAAATCCCAACATTTCCCCTTGAATTGACAAAATGAAATTTATGTGACGTGGTGAAGGATGAAGAATGACCAAGGCACTTTTGAATAAAAAGAAAGGAGGGATAATTTGTCCTGGGAGAAGGACTTCTTATAAGGCTGAAGTACTTAAGAGTGTGATGTGAGTGCAGAAACAGGAAAAATGGCCAGTGGAATAGAATAGAGAGCCCCAGTGCAGACCCATGCATAGGTGTAAATTTCACATTGACAGAGAAGGCATGGTAGATCAATGATAGGACTATTAAGTAGAGCTGACAAAAAAAAGAGGAATATACAGAATTGGATCTCTTCTCCACGCCATACATAAAAACAACTGTTTTAAGTGTCCTGAAACTTTAGAAATTTTGATGTAGAAAATATAGTTAAAACTATAGGTGAAACATATTTCAAAAACGTAGGTGAATATCTTCGTGATCCTGCTTAAACTGGAAGCAAAAGAGACCATGAAAGATAAATAAATGTAAAAGGAAACAGTGCTTTGTTATAAATTATTAATTTAGACATATTAAAGCCAAGCTGTAAACTGTAAGAAGAAATTTGCAAAACTCATAACCAATAATCGGTTAATATTAAGAATATATACAGAAATTCTACAAATCCATAAGAAAAAAAACAACAGAAAAATGGCCGAAAGACTGAAACAGGTCCTTCGCAGAATTGGAAGTGCATATGGGCCAAACACATATTAAGAGGTTTTCATTTCTGTTAATAATCAGATAAACTAAGTCAAGACCTCAGTGATATGTTTAAATTTATCCAACCAGCAAAAGTTAAAAAATGCAACACAGTCAAGTTTTGAAGAGAATTTCAGTCAACAGGATTACTCATATATTGCTAATGGGAATGTTAATATGTATCTACTACTGAAAAACCATTCATTTGAAAAGTTGAACATTAGTTGCCCATAGCCTAGCAATTCCACTTTTAGGCACATACTCGAGAAATACTTGCACAAAGTGTCCCAGAATACATATACAATAATGTCCTGGGAAAAACCCAAAGTCCATCTACAGGAGGGTAAAGTATTGTGTGCTCACATGGAACATGGCAACATAAATTGAATGAAAAAGTAAAACACTCAGAAGGCTACACATGGCATAATACTTTTCTCATGAAGTTCAAAAACTAAAACAATTGTTTAGGCATCTGTGTATATGAGACAAAACTATTAATAAAAAACCACAAGATAGTAATAAAGTTCAGGATAGGGTTACCTTTGGATGAGGGGGAGATTAGGAGAGAGAACTGAGAGCAGCAAATATGTGAGTAAATCATTGATAATGTTCTAGTCCCTGGATTGGATGATGGGTTCATTTGTCATTTAAAGTAAATGCATGAACAAATGGATTAATAGAATCATGCACAGACCATGATGGTGGGATGTTACAAACCAAGGATTATGACTAGTCCAATTATATAAACCTGAATTCCAAAACCTAAAAGGGATAACAGGACCTGTTGATGAATTGGAAGAAGGAAAGGAAAGAGAAGTCAGTTCTGAATCCTAGGCTTTTGGCTTTAGCTATTGCTGCAATTTACTGAGATGAGCAAACCTGGGATGGAGCATATTACACATGGTGGAATAGAGACAAGAATTTAGTGTCTAACACATTGTTTGAGATGCCCGTTAAACATCAAAGTGGAAATGTTAGTAGGTATTGGATATACAAGTCTAAATTCAATGATATGGTCAGGCCAGCAGATAAGTTTGGGAGTAGTTAGCCATGAGATCAGACGAGAGCTTTAGGGATACTTTGGAGTCAGAGAAGTACGGCACCGGGCCCTGAGCTATGACAGACAGAGGAAAAGCCTACGAAAAAGACTTGACTACAGAGGAGCTAGTTGGAATGACAAGGCGGAGGAGAGGGTAGAGTTAGGGTGCTGACTAACAATTTAGATTCTTGAGAGTATTTCTATAAAGAATTTAATCGCCCTGATTACCAATTCTGAAAAAAGAGGGAAAGACTTTGATACATTTCTATAAGTAAGTTCAGAGCTGGGGAGAGAGCCTGGTCCAGTGGAGAGAGCTCTGGATTGGGAGTTGCTCAGAAGACATACATTCTGGTCCAGGCTTGGTTCCCCCAAACCTGAGAGGTTAGGCAGGTGGCCACTCCTCTCTGACCTCCTCCATAAAGCTGGATCAAGCATTCTCCAATCATCTCTCCCAGCTCTGAAAACCCACAGTCTTTGACTAAGCATCTACACTGAAAGAACAAAGGTTTGTTCAGTCCTGGAAAGAAGTTGCAACCACCAACCTACCCACTTCCACACCACCATGTAAATCCTGTGTTTTTTTGTTTTGTGCACTCAGAGTCTAAAGCGGGTCTGCTTTTATTCAGAAGCTTTTATTTTCAAAGATTTTCTTCACTGTTTTTCCCTACATAGATTTTTTTCTTTCCCATAAGGCACAATGTTTAAAACAGTCCAAAGCAGTATGAATATGTATTTGTATTTAATGTTTGTGCTAGAAAATACTTTTTTGTTTTCCTCATGGGATGCAGTACCATCTTAAGAGATGCTAAGTTTCTTGTCTTGATATGTGGGCAAATAAAGACCCAGTAATATCTACAATTTGTAGAACTTCTAGAAAGAGAATTCCTCCACACTAAATCCATTCGTTCTTTCATTCACACATATTTGAGAGTCTTTTATGTGTCAGGAGCTGTTGTAGGTGTTACAGGAGCAGCAGTGAGCAAGACAGGCAAGGTCCGAGTTCTCATGGAGCTCTCAGTGTAGTGAGAAATGGACAAAAAGACAAATGTTAAAAGATGGGACACGTTCTCTCTATATAATTAAAATGGGATAATGGCTAGAGGGAATGAATGACTACTTCAGATTAGGTGGTGAGGAAAGGCCACATTTAGGACTTGACATTTTTAGGCAGGGCTCTGAGGAGATCCATTCTTGAGAAGGGAGGAGAGTAGGGAGAGCATTTTAAAGCTGGTGTAAACCCCTGAGGAAGAAACAAAAAATGGCAAGAAGAGCTGGTGTGCAGTTGGTGGTAGGAAGAGAAAATTGGAAGGTTAAGCAGGGCCCGACTGTGTAGGTCTTTCTAAGTCATGGTTGGAAATTGGGAGCTTTCTGTGACAGCTGTGGTCAAGCTCTAGCTGGCTCTTTCTCAGCACAGCTTTTAAATACTGGAATCCCCAGATTTTTGTCCCGGGCCCCTTTCTCTTTCAATATTCTTTAGATCGTCTCATTTAGGCTCACGGTCTTAAAAACTTTATGTAACCATTGCTCATAACTGTGCATCTCCAACCCTGGCATTAATCCTTCCCTAGCTCCAGAGTCTTGTATCCATTTGCCTATAAAGTCACTCTACTTGGATTTCAGATGGGCATCTCAAATCTAACATGGCTGAATACCTGCCCAGTTGCTTAAGCAACAATCTAGGGCTATTCTTGATTTCTCCATTTCTGTCACCACCACCCCAGTCCAATCCATCAGCAAGTCCCGTCAACTCTCTCCAAAACATATCTTGGATCCATCCACTCCTCTCCGTGTCCACTACGTCCACTCAGTCCAAGCCATCATCTTTCACCTGGACTCCGGCAATAATCTCTTACTTGGTGTCCTTGCTTCCACTCCTGCCCTTCTACAATCACTGACAGCACCCAACATGATCCTTTTAAAAACAAAAATCAGAATGTCACTTCCTACTTAATGTCCTCTCATGGCTTCTTAGAAAAATAAATCCAGGGACTTCCCTGGTGGTCCAGTGATTAAGACTCCGCACTTCCACTGCAGGGGGTGCATGTTTGATCCCTGGTCAGGGAACTAAGATCCTGCATGCTGCATGGTGTGGCCAAAAAAAAAAGGAAAAATAAATCCATAAACCCAAACTCAACCCAAACTCATTAAGTTTCCACAGTGGTTATTGTTAACAGAGAAATAATAAAAATCAGCTTGGAAAACAATGCATGAACCTATTTAAAATGAAAAAAATATCAGAGAAGAGGAGCAAGCTTGCTAAAGAATAGAAACCCTTGCCAAAGGCAGCTGTCAAGGAAGTACAAGCCCACAAACACTGAGTTCAAGAGGAAGGACTGTGATATGAATACGAGAATTCTGGAGCTATCAGTCTCAGGGACAGTCTTAAGAGAGACAAGGTTCCCATCATTACATCCCCAGATTTAACCACAGCTGCTCAGCTTTCATCTATTTATCTATTGATGTTCTTAGGAAATGTCAATACCAAAACAAATCCAAGTGACAACTACGTTAGATTGCTATTCAAGAGAATGAGCCTCCATTGAATTTGTGCAAGATGGGATGCCCAACAGAACCGGAAAATCTTAGACCATTGGAGATGTAAAGACCAGAATCAAGGAAATATGGGTAATATTTGTTATTTACTGTGAGGGAGAAACTTCCACTTAAATCCCAGTTGCCTCCAGCTGCATTGTGCTCAGCTGTGTGCTCTGGACTCATTAATTAATACAGAGGTATTTTCTAGCCCTTCCAACATCTTTCTTCCAAATTCTCTTTGCTTTCCTCAAACCCTGTTGGTTGTTACAATTTTTTCTTTTTTTTTTGGTTGTTACAATTTAGCCTCCAACCCAGATGTTGCAAACTGAAGGCTGAATTACCCTTTCATATGTGTGCTATTTGTCCTTGACAATGTTTTGGTGTATTGTTCTGTTTGCTTTGTTTTTAAACATTTTCGTTGCAACATTTAAAAATGAGATTTAAAATTAAAATCTGCATTTCCAGCTTCTCTTTTAAAGTTGGCCCTTTCAAGAACCTTGAGTCCATATCCTTGAGTGGCAGCATGTGGAGGAAGCCGAGTGACACTCCACCTGTTGGGCGGCTCTACCCTTAGGGCAGGTACTCTCTGGTTTGCTCTCTGCTCCACCACCCCTAAGTGTCTCCCTGACGAGACACAGCTAAGGGTCAGTTGTCAGTTATAAATATGCTCTCATGGTTGTTTTTTTGCTTATTTTGACCCATTTTACTCACTTACCCGCCTGGTCCTATAATTATTTGAGATTGGGACTCCAATTCTCACCTTTGTCTCTCAGCTTATTAAATGGAATCTAATTTCTTTCCTATCACTCATTACTCTGCTGCTGACTATGTGAAGTCTCTGGGTGAACTGTTGGATAGAACCCAGAATCATCATCTGGCAGAGGATATAGTAGAGTGACTTAACTTCCAACAGCCTGCAGAAAACTTGGCTGGGAGCTTCCAGCTAAAACATAGGCTACATGTTTTAGACATCTTAATTCATACTGCACCTAAAGGCATAGAAGTCCTTTTAAAAAATCACATTTGGTTTCTCCCTTGCTCCCCATATCCAGTTGGTAGCCAACTCTTCTTGGTTCTATAGCATCTTCAGGCTTTGTTACTGCCTATCTGGATTCGCAGTAGCTTCTCAGCTGGTGTAAATTTAGTTACTGCTCCAATCAACACACTCTAACACAGCTTCTTTCTAAATTAGACTTAATTATATCATGCATCACAACTACCCGAATAGAAAATATCAATAGATATGCTTAGAATGAATATGCATGGAATCAAATTCAGATTTAGCCTAACATTCAAAAGCTACCCAAACCCTTCTTCAGCCTACTTCTCATCTTTTTTTCTCACTCCACCATCCATACACCGTAACTCCAGTCGCTGTACCTGGGCTTTCTCCCCTCCAAGCCATTGCTCATGTTTTTAAAAACATGTCCATTGTTTAAGTCTCTTCAAATCCCAGCTCTTTATGACACCTTTCCAGATCCTCCCAGATGAAATTAACCTTTCCTTCCTCTGTTTTCTTGGGATGTTTTCCCCAGCTCTTATCAGAGTCTGCCTTTTTCCCCAGCTCTTATCAGAGTTATAGTTCCTTGTATTTTTCTCATGCCCTACATTTGAGGCTATGGAGGGCAGGGACCATAATTTACACATCTTTTTATTTCCTGCACCCAGCAGAGAGTTTAGCACAAGTTGAACTGAAACAAATAGAAAATCTATTTCTTGAAGCAACTTAATGACTTGTCCTTAACGATCTGGGGTCCAATATAACTTTCAAAATAGGATTCTAAGCCTCTTTTTTTCCCCAGGATAAAATTAATTTTTTTGTTTAAACAGTTTATATGTGTGAAGTTTTAAAATACTTATTGGGAAGTATACCACATCACCCATACCAGTTCTAACAAAAATGACATAATCTGACAAATGCAGAATGTGGGACATTATATAAGACAGTGCTCCAGGACTGTTAAACAAGTGTCAATGTTATAAAAACCAACCAACCAAAAATGACAAGGATATATATATATATATATATATATAGAGAGAGAGAGAGAGAGAGAGAGAGAGAGACAAAAAGCAAAAGTGAGAAAATATTAGCAATTAGTAAATCTAGATGAAGAGTACAGGGTATTTCATGGTACTATTCTTTGAGTTCTTCTATAGGTTAAAAACTTTCAAAATAAAAAGTTGGGGAAAAAGGAAACAGGAAGGAGCTGAAAGGACTAGTTTAATTTCCTAACTGTATTCCTTTTAGTCTATTATTAGATAAGTTAATAGCTAAGTAGTGAAAACAAAACATTTATTTGGGTATACCTTTATATTTAGGATTAAACCAGCTAGGAGTGAACCACATAGTTGGTTGTAAGAATTACTAAATCAGAAATGCAGTTTTATTGCTCATTAGAGGGACTTCGCATACTTTATGGTTTCTACTTTCAAAGAAAATAAACTGGAGGAAATGGACGAGGTGCGTATCAAGGAATTTTTTTCACTGCGAGTAGATTTGGAAATATTTAACAAATCCTAACTTTTCATTATCACAAGCCTCGGTATCTATGAAAGTGATTATATTGATTTGCCCTCTTTCTCTAGGTGAAAAAAAAACCCCTATATCTTTGCTAGGCTGTAGCTAAATCGATCTGGTTGATGGAGGCAGAGAAATAAATATATTGGTGTAAAAGGACAAATAGGAGATAAGGCTATGTATTTATTGCCCATTTATGTAATTACATGTGTCACTAAGGACAAAGGTCCTTAAAACAAAGACGAAAGGCAGAGTAGAAACAGTTCCCTATAGAAAGAGAGATGGATTTTCTACCACTTCCCTCTTCATGAATTTTTCTTTTGCGTGGTTACATATCCTTCTGGTTTTATTATCACATTTGAAAACTTAACCATCTTTTTGGGCACAGTTTGATGGCTGAAGATATGCTTCACTCCAATAAAAAGAAAATGAACATTTTTCAAGAGCATTCGTAGGCTTCGAGCTGAGAGGACAGCACTTAGTTCCTGAGGTCTGATAATCATTCTGTGCGGATAACTACCAGGACCACGGCACCATGGATGTGGTGGGCGAAAACGAGGCCCTACAGCAGTTCTTCGAAGGTAAGAAGCCCGTTTCCAACATCTGAGAAATGGTACTCCTTACTATCACTGTCTCACCTTTTTGGAATTCACTTGGGCTTTGAAAGAAATACTATTGTACTAACTGTCGTGAAGTCAGAAGTGCAGGTTTATTTG